TGTTGCTGATGGGGGGGTTCATCATCAGTGACAACCTCACCATGCATGATGATGTGTGTTGCACAGGGTGATGGATCTTGGGGAATTCACTGTATGTGGGGGCTTGGACAAACTCGGCCGAGCAACTTTTCAGTTTTGTGCCTGTGCAGAAAGATTGACTGAAGTGGAGGAGGGAGAAATGGCTGTGGTTCTGTATCTAGCAGCCGGTGCTTTGCTTTATGCATTATGGTAGAGTTAGGGTCAAAGAATGAATGAGTAGGTTTTCCATTCAGAAGCCAGGAAAGGCAAGCTATGTGGTTCTGTGAATTCCTCTGATCTATAGGTACGCTGGTGTCTGTTTTGTTAGTTGCTTTCCTTGGTGCTGCAACAAAACCCCTGACATACACAGTGAAGGAGGGGAAGGGTTTATTTTGGTTCGGTCTGATGGTGTCTTCTATTACGGTGAAGTATGGTGGCAGGGGCTTGAGACAACTGCTCAGGTATCAGGAAGTAGAGAGGTGAATGCTGTCTGGTGCTCAACTCACTTCCTCTTTATATACAATACACCATTCCAACCTATGTGGGAAACCCGTTCCATTTACGGTGGGTCTTTTCACCTAAATGTAGGAAATCCTTCCTAGATAAGTCTAAAGGACTTGTCTCTTCAGTGACTCTAGGCCCTGTTACATTGATCAATAGGAACCATTACTTCCGTCTTCATTGTGGAGGTGAGAAAGGAATAAGGATAATTGACTTCTGGGTAGCGTGCCCCAGATCCAGGCTACTCTCATACAGTACACTTTAAATATGCCAGGTCCTTGCCAGAGAATGGTTATGATGGGGAATTGCTCCTAGGAAGATGGAACCTCCTGTTATAGCTCAGGGACCTTAGGGAAGGAAGGAAGAGAGGAAGGAAGGAAGGGAGGGAGGGAGGGAGGGATGGAGGGAGGGAGGGAGGGAGGAAGGCTGAAGGAGAACAAAGCCCACACCAACATTTGAGGGACCAGCTCTCCCAACCCCTGCCTTTAATGGATGGAGCAGTGGAACCGCAGTATTGGCGATGAGCCGCCTGCCAGAAGCTTCACTTCTTTTTCTATGACTATGTCAGAATTCACATTCTGGGGGCAGGAGACACCAAAACAACAGCTGCTGGGCCACTCACTGACCTAGTGTGTGGGGATGGAAGGTGCAATTAGAAAGCTTAGGAAATGGCTTAAGCCTGAAATACCAAGTCACAATTTCTCTTGTTAACTCAACTTCGCACAGACTTCACGTTCCAAACCACATGCTGAAGAAACCTCCCAAGGGGAGCCTTCTCCATGGCACACCACTGTAGCCTGAACCACCTGATTGTGACCACTGGTGACTTTCCAATGCCCTCCCTTCTCTTGTTTCAGTCCCCAAAGTCCCTCATACTCTGGCATGGTCCACGAGCATGGAAGAGCATGCCGCAGTCTTGAATGGCCTCCTCCAAGGGCTGCCAGTTCTATGTGGTTGTATTTCTAGATGATGGTCAGAATGTTTCAGTTGGCCTCTTGTCTTCAGCTATTCATGGTTCCTCAGGTTTGGGCTGAGCTCCACCACCGCAGAACTTCACCTCTGCTGCCTTCACACCCAGAGTCTTGGCAGGAAAAACGTCTCTCCATTCTCTCACTGCTCCCATCCACCCACACCGCACCCCGCTCTCTTCATAAAGGTCTCCAGGGACAGGGTTGCCACCTGCTCAGCTTCCCTGGTTTGACTGGTTTTTCCTGCTAAGGCAGCCCACTCCTTCAGGAGTGATGACCCACAGAGACCTGTGAGGTTATCAGACAGGACCAAAAAAAAACCTTCAAGTTTGCCAGGCAAACAGTAAAATAGGTCTTTTCAAGTGATTCTGAGAACCTGAAAAGTGACTTTGTTGTAAAACCTGTGATTTTCCTTTCTCCTTTCCAATGAGTTGAGGTTTTGAACTATACTTAGTATTCAGAGCTCAAAGTACTCTCTGTTCTCCTCGCTTGAGAGCAAACCCTTTCTCCCAGTTAGGGGCAGGGCTTTTTGAAGAACCCTGCTGCTGTCTCTTCAGATGGCAAGCCGATTTGACGCACTTGAGCTGACCATCATCCCACCAGATTCTAAATCCCTTTCTGAAGGAGGAAAAGGGAAAAACTACCCTCATACTCTGAAAAAAATATACAAAAGTTATTCATTAAATTCAGCCCTCTCCAGTTAGGATCTGGTTGCCGTAGAGGCCAAGTAAGCAAGTGACGTGGGCTGTAGAACCTGCCTTGTGTTCCATACATACAGTTTAACCTTCCAGCAGGCACAGATGACCCTTGGTGACTAGCAGGCTCTCCCTAATTAACATGGAGGTGGCTCTAGGAAAGCCATGTCAGAAAGTACAGGGCTTAATTGCATTATCCTGGATTGCTTCCTCTCTGTTCTGTTGCTTTAAGCAATTGCTAAGATGAAACCAGATTCAAGAGGTGTACATACAGAGGCTGGCCACATTTGCTGAGGTTACCCCTTCAGATCTACGGCAGGAGTTAATGAGAGCTGACCTGTCCCCAGTTCCAAATAAGCAACATGTATTTTGTTTTAATGTTTTTTTGAGGCAATATCTCATGTAGCCTTGGTTGGCCTTGTACTTGGTATTGAATTGCTGATTTCCCTGCCTCCACCATCTCAAGTTCTGAGATTACAGGCAAGTACTATCTCACCTGGTTTATGAAGTATTGGGAATCAAACTTAGCACTTCACTAATGCTGGGCAACTGCTCTAATACCCCAGCTCCTATGTAGTGTATGTATACATGTGTGTATGTGTATATATAGAGATATATGTATGGATGATTGATGGAATGACAGGATTTCACTCTGTAGCCCAGCCTGACCTCGAACTTCCTATCCTCTTGCTTCCATCTGAGTGCCTGGGTTATAGGCATGCACCACTACACCAGCTAAAAATAATATTAAATGACACGAAGTAGTCTGAGCCACGCAGTGTATAGTCATCACAGAGGTGTGGATTTCCACTATAAATAAACAGCAGAGGTTTCTGTTGGCCGACACGGCATGCAAAATGAATTAGGTAGGTTTCATCAGAGTTAGAGGGTGTGGTTGCAATGGTCATTTAGAGTCTGGGCAAAATGTTTGGCATGCCTGTGACTCACTGAGGAAAGCTGGAGGAAGGACTTTACTAGGTCAACAGAGGCCCATAGGCTGCTTGCTGGGAGGGTGTGCGAAAGGATGGAAAAAACAAACCAGTGAACTCTAAGGTGAAAAGCTTTAAAAACCTGGGTGAGTGGGGAAAGTGCTTGCTGGGCAAGCATGAGGACCTGTGTTCCAGCTCCCAGAATCTATGGAAAGCTGGACACAGTAGCGGCCTCTGTAATCTCAGTGCTCCTTGGTGAAAAGGAAGGTGGAGACCAGAGCATCTCCAGAAGTTCACAGGCCAGCTAGCCCTACACACACAGCAGCAAAGCAAGAGACTGTTTCAAACAAGGTGGAAGGTGAGAACTGACATCAAATGTTGACCTCTTACCCCTGAGTAGCATGTGCTGGCCCCCACTTCTATACACACACACACACACACACAGAGTAAAAAGGTGTGTGTGTTCGTGCATGCATGTGCTAGAGAGATGGTTCAGCAGTTAAGAGTGTTTGTAGCCCTTCCAGGGGACTCTAATTGGGTTCCCCACACCCACATTGAGTGTCTCACAACCATCTGTAACTCCAGTTTCCACTTTGCTGCACTTTGGGCACTGCCTTAATTATGGTTTCTGTTGGTGTCATAAAACACCATCACCAAAAGCAATATGGGGAGGAGAGGATTTACTTCCACTTATAGTTCCAAATTACAGTCTGCTGATTAGGGAAATCAGTGAGTCAAGGCAGGGACCTGCAGTCAGGGACTGATGAGAGGCCATGAAGGGGTGCTGTTTACTGGCTTGCTCATCATGGCTTACTTGGGCTCTTTTCCTTCTTTTTTTATTTAAGAGCTTCTTTTTTATATAGTTTATTTTATTTTGTGTTTTTCCTATGTGTATCTCTCTCTCTCTCTCTCTCTCTCTCTCTCTCTCTCTCTCTCTCTCTCTCTAACCCTCTCAGCCTGCTTTCTTATAGAACCCAGGACCACCAGCCCAAGGGTAGCCCTATTCACAGTGAGCTGGGTCCTTCTAGATCAATAATAGATTGATAATTATGTGCCACAGACTTGCCCATGAGCCAATCTAGTGGGGGAATCTTCTCAAATGAGGTTCCAGCTTCCAAATGGCTCTGGTTTGTCTCAGGTTGACCCGTGTAACATACATACACACAAGTGAAAAGAGAGCCAAAGGGGTGAAGGCTTCTAACGGCTAAGCTTCTTGCTCTCTAGACTAGCAACAGCCATGGCTTACTTATCTAACAATGGTTAATGATTCTCCAGGATGCACCAAGTAGACAGATGAGCTATTATCACCTATGGCTATTTGCCAGTCTCTATAGGCTTTAGTTTGCTGGCTGTTGGTGTGATGCGTTGGACTTGGCCTTTCCAGGAGGTTTGCTTCTCAGAATGACCTTGGTGCTCCTGTTTCCTGGGAATTTCAGAAATGTAGCCAAGGAAGTATCGTGGCTGGTAGTGTAACTATCCTGGCCAGAAGATGGTATTTTTTTTTTATTTAAAGAAATTTTTTTTCATTTTACATGGGAACCCCAGGCCCCCTTCCCTCCTCTTCTCCCACTCCTCCTCCCCATCTGCTCTTCAGAGGGGGTAAGGTCTCCCTTGGGGAGTCAACAAAGCCTGACATACCAAGTTAAGGCAGCACAAAGCTCCTCCCCACTGCATCAAGGTTGAGCAAGGTATCCTACCATAGAGAATGGGCTCCAAAAAGCCAGCTCATGTATCCAGGATAAGTCCTGATTCCACTGCCAGGGGTTCCCTCCCAACAAATCAAGCCACAAAACTGTCACCCACATTCAGAGGGCCTAGTTTGGTCGCATGCAGGTTTCCTAGCTGGAAGATGATATTCTCAAGAGAGTGCCCCTCTGTTTGCTTATTAGGTTATTGAAACAATGGCCCCCAAGATATTGGAATTTCTCCAGGAATCTCATGCTGGAAGACGGGAAAGGTTGAAGCTTGGTACCAGCCAGGGAAGGAACTTGTCTCCTTGGAAAAGGTTTTATGAAGTCCTGACAGCTTACCAGACCCTCTTGCAGGACTGACTGGGCCCCAGACATTGAAGGGTCAGTGCAGGACTGATTCCTTACATATATCTCTTGCCTTCTATTTGAAACCAAACCTCATGTTAGTGTCAGTACCTTGAAGATGGACACAGGTGGGTACTGGACCTCTTTATTTGTTCTTTCTGATGTGGCCACATTAGTAAGTTTCCTTGCTCATTGTTACCTATCCATTCAGTTGGCCTATTAGGGATGAATGGTTGAGCCTAGCTTTAACAGGCTCTGTCTCTAATGACTCAGTAACAGCAGGGTTAGGAAGAAAAGCAACTTACTGCGTGTAAACTTACTGCATGTAAAACAGGAGTGGTAATGACATCACACTGGAATCAGCCTTCCTTTCACATCCCAGGGATGCACCCTCTCCCCCACCATAGGCAGGCACTGCCTGGATGGCTCTCGATCTAGCCACTGTCCTGCTCTTACACACTGGACTCATCAGCTGCCAATTACGGCAGGCATACAGCTTTTCTAAAGTTCACATTTGATCTTGTCATTTCTCCTTTTAAAAGACACATTATTTTTTATCTGTGTCTGTGTATATGTGTGAGTACATGTGTGTATGTGTGTGTGTGTGTGTGTGTGTGTGTGTGTGTGTACCCACAGATACCAGAGAAATGTCAGATCCCCTTGAGTGGAGTTACAGGTGTGTGTGTGAGCGGCTTAGTGTTGGTGTTGGGATCTGAACACTGGTCCTCTGATAGAGTAGAAAGTGCTCTTAATCACTGAGCCATCTCTAGTCCCCATCCTGCCATAGCATTTTCAGGCTCCTGAGCACCTGAGCATTATGAACAAGACTTCATGATAGGCCTTAACTTCTCTCCATTCTTCCACCTTGCTGCCTTTTGCCCTGAAGACAAGAACAAATGTGCCAAGAGCAAGAGAAGGAGTTAGCCAGCAAGAGAAGACACAGTCTCCCCTTGTATGTCTGTATGCCTTACACAAGATTATGTAGCCTCTCCCATTAGGGGTTGATTCTGTCTCCTGACCCTCGACTCTGGGATGGCCTTATGACTTGTTCCACTCATTCATGATACTTGACATGGTGTTAATATCGATTGTGTGGTTAGATTTAGAGACATGGAAGGTTTCTGCTGGCTTTTGGAACCTGTCACTGCCATGTATACCGAGCCAGGCTAACCTGCCAGAGGACAGGGACGTATTTGGAAGATACTGTTTATTATATCCAGGGCTGTATCAAGCTGATCTCCAGCTAGCTAATGCCCAGAAGTGCAAGAGGAGAGAGCTATCTGGGTAATGTCTGCTGACTATCAGTGATTATATGTACTTAGCTGAGAGAAGAACAGTTCAGCTCACCCTAGACTCGTGAGCAAAAAAAACAAATGTTCTTAAGACTATGTACCTGGTACGTGTGTGTGTGTGTGTGTGTGTGTGTGTGTGTGTGTTCAAGTGAGTGTGTCCAGGTGCATGGAGGTACACATATGTATGTATGTGTGGAGTGGAAATTGATTTTGGGCTGTCTGCCTCAATTGCTCTGGACCTTTTGTTTTTATTTTTATTGTGTATATGTGCATGTGTGTGTGTACACACGTGGTCACATGCATATATGTACATTTGGGCACACACAGGCCATGATACATGATTAGAGGACAACTTTCGGGAGTTGGTCCTTCTGTTGTGTATGTCTTGGGACTCAAACTCAGTGTTATGATAAAGCGTGTGGGGGGATCTAGGTGGATTCCATGCAAGTGCGGTTGACCGAGGCGGAGAGATAAACATGCCAAGCAGACAGAGCTTAAGCGAGAAGATTTATTAGAAAGGGGAGGGAAGGGGGAAAGAAAGAGAAAAGAGGTAAAGACACACACGGGGTGGAGGGGTGGGGAGAGGGAGGGGACAGAAGAGAAGAGAAGAGAGAGACAGAAAAAGTCCTGTCTGCTGCAGGGAAAGAGAGCAGGAAATAGAGAGCAGAAAGAAAGAGCGAAAAGAGAAACAGGCAGAGATCATGCATGGGTGGGATTCTGTCTCTTAAAAAGGGTCCTTTGTACCTGAGTGCAGACTAGGCAACCATGGAACCCTGGGCTGACCAGTGTACTGCCTCAGTGCATTCTGCCTGGTGACAGGGTCAGACCAGCATAATGCCTGAATCCTTACACTCAGGCCATCAGGTTTGGCAGCAGGCTCTTTTACTGGTTGTGAGCACCATGCTGGCCCTTCAACCTTATTTTTTGAGATAGGGTCTTACATTAAACTCTGAGCTCACCAACTTAGATACTCTAGCTGGCCAGTGAGTTCCATGAATCCTCTGCCTCCAACCACTTTACAGATTACAGATGTGGCCGCCACACTTGGCTTTTTCATGGGTGCTAGGGACTCAAACTCAGGCCCTCAGCTTTGGGCAGCAAGCACTTTCTCTCTCTCTAACTCCTGCTGTTAGGACTTTAAGTCATAAAGACTTGATACAGTTTGCTACCCAGCCATTGCTAGTCAACGCATCTACACCTAACTCTTTTGTATGTGCCATCTTAATTCTCAGCTTGTTTTAAAGAACACTGCCTGAGAGGCTCCTATCTTAAGAGTATTTACATCTGAGTCTTGGTGTAGATTTCTCTCTCGACAGGCTTTCCCTAGCCCTCACATGCCAAGCTTTTAGCTATCACTGTTGACAAGGACTTCTTGACCTTACTTTGCTCACTCTTCCAAGTGTTCTAGGCCTGGGCCTTCAGTGTATGCCCTGGTTAGCCCTGTGTCTCCCAATTCTATAAGAATACTGTTAGTCGGTTTAGGAGGAATTCCCAACTTGAAGAAAATTCCTATGTACTTCTAGCAGGAATCCAGTTAAATTGGTGTAGCCAGAATTATTCTGAACTCTTGGTAATCTCCTGATATCCACACTCTGCTTCTCAGCTGTAAATCTGCAGTCTTCCTTATTGTATTTGGAGTTGCGCCTAGTCTTTCTTGCCTGTTGCAAAACCCGGTACAGTAGCTTTTTCCTTTTCATCTTTGGCAAGTGCCTGAATAAATCTCTCTCTTCCTTCTTCCTTCCCCCTTTCCTTTTTCTCCCCCACCCTTTATTTAAAATTTAAAAAATTAGATTCATTATTTTATATGTATGAGTTTTTTTTGCCTGAATGTATGTATGCATACTGTGTGCCTTCCTAGAGTCCATGGAGGTCAGAAGAGAGTGTCGGATCCTCTGAACTAGAGATAGTTGTGAACCACTGTGTGGATCCTTGGAACCAAGCCCAGGTCCTCAGCCAAGAGTAGCAAGTGCTTTCGGTCCTTCTTTTCTCTTTCTTGGCAGGTCTCAAGTAGCTCTGGGTGGCCTCAAACTTGCCATGTAGCTGAGACTGACCTCGAACTCATGATCTTCCTACCTCCAGCTCTCACATGTTTGGGATTCTAGGTGGGAAGCCCCTATACAAGACTCTTGTTTGTTCTCTTTAATACAGCCACATTCTCTTTTATGGACCTAACTTTGCTAGACAGTTGTTCCACTTAGGTGTGAACACTTGTTCACTCAACTCACTTTATACTCTCCTGTGTGTATGCTGAAGGCAGGCCTGGATTTTGTCTTAAGTAACAATGTCTGGCTGGGTGGTGGTGGCGCACGCCTTTAATCCCAGTACTCGGGAGGCAGATGGATCTCTGTGAGTTTAAGACCAGCCTGGTTTACAAAGCTACACAGAGAAACCCTCTCTGGAAAAACAAAATAAAACAAAAAGGAAAATGTCTGAACCTAGCAGAGTATTTAGAAAATAATAAGGACATAATGTACCTTTGTCAGTGGTAGGGTAGATGCATGGATGGATGAGTTACTCTGGGTTTCAGCATGCCCACAGAATGTGTGGGGTGGGAGGATTCTGGGATGCAGATAAGTCTTGTTTTTGTATGCCAACTCTAATGATTCACTGGCCGTGAATGTTTGCAGTTCTTTCCTGATGAAGACTCTGCCCGTTGTGACTAGAGTTAAAGGGAAGGAGTGTCATGATTAATTAGCCATGTTTGCCATGGTCAGGAAATGGGAAATGACAGCCGACCTGCCAGAAATGGACCAATTCTGGGGAAAGATGATTGCTCTGCCTCCTGTGGCTATCAATCAATCTTGCTCAACCCAGCCATGTCTGCATTCCACATTGTGCCAATGAAGGGCAAACCAAATGGGGAGCTGACTAGATGCCAACATTAATGGTGCTTGCTGTGGTCGAGACCAGGTGCTTAATAATCCATTTTCCCTTCCCCTGGGCACGCTCATGGAGCTGGACTGTGTTTTTCCAGCCCCACACCACTGAGTTTGTGCCAGAGACTAGTTTCCACCCATGCAACGTAAGCTGGAGGGATAGAAGTCCCCTCGAGCTAGGTGCGGTAGAGCCCTCTTTGTGCAAATCCAAAAATATCTTCCTTCTCTGCATTGGGAGGTATAGGCAATACATGGCATCTATGGCCACCAATAGGAATGACATCTGAGGAGATGGGGACATGGCTCACTCAGTAGGGTTCTGACCTTGCAAACAGAAGGACCTGAGTTCTAGTCCCAGAATCCATGTTAAAAAAAAAGCTGTGTTGTTACATAAGTCACTCCAGTACTGGGGAGACTGAAGCAGATGGAATTCCCGGGCTTGATGGTCAGAAATTTAGTCAGCTAGGCGAGTTTCAGGCCAGTGAGAGACATGCTCACTTAAAAATAAAAAGTGCTTCCACGGTCAAAAAGCTCTGGGCATGTCTATAGGGATTATCCATATTAGATTAACTGACTTGGAAATATCTATGTTAAACGTGAGTGGTACCATTCAATGGGTCAGGTTTCTGGATTGAATGTAAAGGAAAAAACAAGCTGAAAAAAATGCTTTAAGGTTTTATTTTTTATCTCTAATAATCATTTTGTCTGTGTGGGATTGGGCGTGTGAGTCTGGTACCTTCAGAAGCCAGAAGAGGATTCCCCTGGCACCAGAACTACAGGGGGTTGTGAGCACCCGCCCTCTTTTGGGTGCTGGCAGCTGAGCTCTGGTCATATGCAAGAGCGGTTAGTTCTGGTCACCACGGAGCCACCTCCCCACTCCTGGGTCACTGTATGCGTATGTGTGAGTGCGCAAGCACGAGGGTGCAGTGACTGGAGTGCCGAGTTTGGGGGTGCATTCTT